GATACTGAACATTTTAATCCTCCTGTTTCTACCTCTTAACTATTGTGTTGGGATTACAGATATGTGCTACAGTGTTTGCTTTATAGGGTGCTGAGGACTGACCCCACGGCTTTGTGTGAGCTAGGCAAGCACTCACTAGCTTCTCTACAGGCCTGGTCCCACATTATTCCCTGGATGTTCAAGTTCTGGATGCTAGTTTTGTTTTTTGCTTTGTTTTGTTTTTTTGGTAAGCACCAGAGTCAAACCAACCAACCAAACAAACAAAAAACAAAAAAACCCACTTCTAGGCACAGTGGTGACTTAGAGTTCCAGCTTCTCAAGAAGCTGAGGTAGGAGGCTTGCTTAAGTCCAGGAGTTCCAGAACTGCATGAACAACATAGTGAGACCCTGCCTACAGAGAAAAAAAATACACTTCGCCAGGCACCAACTATATTTGGATAAAGTCCGTGGATTGTCTGCATGCATTTTCAGGATGTGGTAACACAAGGATGTCAGGAGGCACTCTGTTTCACCTAGACTATCTTTTGGATGTGCAATATATGTATTTTCTTTTGCATGAGATACTGCTTTGTGAGAAGTTTTTCATCTTCAAGTTAATCCTGAAAGGCTTTCCATTAGACAGTTTATCATACTTTTTGTGGTTATGAGAATCTTCCTCTAGGTAGTGTCCTTTGCAGTTTTCTCATTTGATGTGGGTCAACTTCCTTCTTAAGGCATAAACTTGTTTTATTTCTTGGCCAGAGAGTGGTGCTGGCGATTCTGGACAGAGCAGCTCTTTCCCAGCTGACCTAGTATCAACAATGTGTCAGACTTATTTCCAATTGGCCTTTTAGATTCCTCATGCATTGCTTACCCATGATCCCTGGTTGACTTTAAGGGTACCGGGGACTACCATTCCAACTGAGTTGTGCTAACAATTCCTTCTTGATACATTTGGTTAGTATCACATAATACTTTTCATTCTGCATTGTTTATTGTCTTAGGCATATGAGCTGTAAATTTTGTATTGTTTATTCTTTTATTTGTGTGGATTGTCTACTCAAACAGATTAAAAAGTCTTTAAGAGCTCTGCAAGGCTCAAGCACCTGGCATAATACACTGCTTGAAAGCAGTCTGCAAACATGTTTGCCAATGATGTAGGTGGTAGCATGCTTGTGCTTATTAACATCTAAAGAATATATGTCCTAGGGCTGGAGGGATGGCTCAGAGATTAAAAGCACCGTCTGCTTTTGCAGAGGACATTCCTGGGCTCAATTCCCAGCACTCATATGATAGCTCACAACCATCTGTAAGTTGAGTTCCAGGGATTCTGACGCCCCCTTCTGGCCTCTATAGGAACTAGGCACACACGGTACACAGACATAAAAGCAGGTAAAACACACATGCACATGAAATAATCAATTAAAAAAAATCTATGTTCTAGATTATTATTTAGATAGATTAATAATCTATGTTGGGTATAGTGGCAAATTCTATTAAGCTCAGCACACTAGAGGTAGATGGATCTTTGTGAGTTCAAAGTTAGTCTGGTCTACATAGCAAGTTCCAGGCCAACCAGGGCCCAATTCTAGTCTCAACACTCTTTTGGGTCCTTGAGAGCAGGAAAGTCCTTGTTCACAGACAGACAGACAGAGACAGACAGACAGACAGACAGACAGACAGAAAGACACAGATGCACGCACACGCACACACACACACACCATGAAGCAGCCATGCTAAGTGACTTGGAACAATGGCGCTGTACATAGCCTGCTTTCTGGGTTCTCCTTCGGGCTGTCCTTCCTCAGATTGTTTCAGAAGACCTTTTTTCCTTTTCCTCTTGGACTCTGGGATCCCCCCAGGAGACTTCAATATGCCTTTAATGTGTTTTTTGTTTTGTTTTTTTCCTTTCTTCTCCAGTCTCCAAAGGCTGGGCAATAAATTAGGGTGTGTGGGGTAGGTAGGCTTTTGAACTGGGACACCAAAAGGGAGATAACAGTCTGTTTTCTCTAAAGTTCAGAGCTAGTAGGATTTTGTGGTTTTGCCTTTCAGCCTTACAGTAATCAGCCTTGAGTTCTCAGAATGGCTTATCAACCCACAGTTTGTCTCCAGTGATTTTGATTTGGAATTGTTATTTTAAAGTGGTGTACATACACATTTATGGTAGATATTTTCTTTGTTCCATTCTTCCTTTTTCCTTCCCTCCCGCTTCTCCTTCCTACCCCACAGGGTATCTCCTTCAGTCGGCCAGACTGCTATTCCAGATAGGCCTGTGTACTTGTATACCAAGCTAAGTCTATACGTTCTTTAGAGTACATTGAAATGCTTCTTTCTTGTAACATCTTCCGACTCTCCCAAACAGGACTATTAATTACCTTTACCCCAACTTTCATACAAGTCAACTCCAGTGTTTTTATTCTGTATCAGTCCAGAGCTGCACCTTGCCTTAAGATCACAGAGTCTTAAGCCTGTAGAGTTCGAGGACATGCTGTAGGTGTCTGGGTTCTCCTCTCTGCATCATAACTGTATTTAAGCAGTTAAAATCCATGCTTGTTGACTTAATGGACTGGAATTTTGTAACAGCCCCGTTTGGTTGCACAATTTAGAGTCTATTCTTCTAGAACACACTCGACACCACCGGGAGTTTCTGTATGGACTCCGTTTGTTTGATATAGGTTATAGAGGCACTTGCTCAGCAAATGCTTTCCAGAGCCATCAAAGGCTCATGCTTGGGATTTTTGCTTCCTGTTTCCCTCTTAATGTCCTTATATAGCTTTATCCTGTGTGTTGCTTTCCAATGATTCTCCTACTGATTGTTTTTTTTTTTTTTTTTTTTTTTTTTACTAATTTAAATATCTGTGCCAGGGGTCATTCCTGAGGTTGAGACAGAAGTAACAAAACAAAGAGGTCAGTTAAACAAAAATCTATTACTGACACCACAGTGGCAGAGTTTGCCTCAGGGGCTCCTAGGAAACCAGACACGAAATGTTGATCTTTATTTTTCAGTGTGTTGTGTCCCTCTAGTACACACACACACACACACACACACACACACACACACACACGGCGGGGAGGGGAAGGGGTATATACTACTTGCAATTCTCCCACAGGCATTTCCACCTATGGGCTCCGAATCTTTAGTATCTAAGCATTCATTTTCACAGCTAGTCTACCAGCTCTGATGATAGTCATATAAAAGGGGTGAGAGGTTCATCTTCTTTGCTGTCTTGGCAAGGCATCCTTTCAAAAAGCAAAGTATAACACATTTACGTCCACAACTCCCTCTGAGTCCTGGCATAGATGGTAAATGTATGCACGCAGTGCATCAAGGAGGTAGAGACTAAGGGAAACCAGAGGAGAGACGTTGAAGTCCAAGATCGGTTTCATTCTTAATTTGTAGCAACAGTTATGACAGGAGCAGTTCATGGAAAGCACAAAATGTGGAGGCCTTCGCTTCTACCATAAAGGCAGGAAAAATACTATGAATCTCCTCTCGATGTTTGAGACACATTGAATTGAATGAACATTTTTTTCCTCCAAATACAACCTTGGATGAACAAGATTTTTTTCTACTTATTAGTAAACTGTCTCAAATTAGAAGTGTAAAAACCAAATATAATTTTGCTCCAATGATACTAGTTTCTCCACTTTTTTTCTATTTTATTCTCCCCCCCCATTCCTTTGATACAGGGTCTCACACTGCTCAGGAAGCAATTCTCCTGCCTCAGCCTGTTGAGTGTTCATTTCATTCTGTACTACTTGGCGATCTCCCAGAAGTCATCCTTAACTGTCACGGTGTAGAAGGGTCAATCCCACATTACCAGAGCGTTTAACATAGTGTACTAGTAGGAAAACAGAAACCACCTCAGTGAACCGAAAAGTTGGAACGGATCAGGAAGCTCTTGGAAACTCGGGCAGCTTCGTTTTTCTCTTTAGGATTCAGATTCCTATCTGGAGATACCGAGGACAGTTCCGTCCACAGATCTCTTGGTAACCCCCAGAGAGCCAGTGACAATTTTTTCTCTTCCCTAGTAAGGAGTATCCCATTTTCTAAGACGGATCTGTGGTCAGAGGTCACTCGAGGCAGCTTCTCCCCAATGGCGTTTTAGAAATAGGGAAGGGCAGCAGGGCTGTAGAGAGGCCCGGGGCGCAGCGCGTGGACACCCGGCAGGGCTCCCGTGGCGCCGGCGGCCGGAGGGCAGGCTGAGGCCGCCATATTCTCGCCGACCACGCCCCGGAGGCCCGCGGCAGCCGATGGTGGGTGTCCGCCTGCCGGCCCCGCTCGAGCAGCCGTGACCGCCGCCGCCAGGGCTCGCACGGAGGGAGGTGGCGGGAGAGCGGGGCGGGCAGTCGGGGGCGGGGCGAGGAGAGCGCGAGCGGTCCTGGAGGGGCCGCGGCCCCGCCCCTTGCGCTGCGCCCGCCCCCTGCGCCCGCCCTCCTCCCGCCACCGCCTCCCTCCCGGATCTGTGCTCCACTTCAGAGAAAGGAGAAAATGTGTGTGTGTGGCGAGGGGGAGGGCGAGCACTGAGCAGCCGCGGCGCGCCTGGCAATCGGGCCGGGTGGGCGTCCGGCGGAGGCGGGGGCGGAGGCGGGGAGCGCGCGGCGGCCGGCTGCCCGGTTTGCGCGCGAGCCGAGTGGGCGCGGGCAGGCCGAGGGCGCCCAGAGCCGAGTCAGGCGGCGGCGAGGAGCGGGCGCGCCGGGCGCGCGGAGCCGTCGGCGGTCGCTCGCTGCGGGGCCGCCTCGGTGGATGAGCTCGGGCCGCTGGGCGCACAGCCTAGGGCAGCGTCGGCGGCGGCGCCTAGAGGGCCGCGCGCTCTCCGAGAAGGCGGCGTGTGAGCGCGGCCGGGCGCGGCGGCCTTTTCTCGCGCGTCCCAGGCCCCCGGCCCCGCTCGTCCCCGGCCCGCCTGGGCTGCGGGCCTGGCCGCCGTCTTCACCGCGGCTCCCCTGAGCTCGTCCCTGACGCGCGCCCGGGCGGCGGGGCTCCGCGGCCGCCGCTGCCTCGGGGGAGCGAGGGCGGAGGGCGTGTGTGCGCGCGTGTGAGCAGGGCGCCGGCGGGGCTGCAGCGAGGCACTTCGGAAGAATGACTCTGGAGTCCATCATGGCGTGCTGCCTGAGCGAGGAGGCCAAGGAAGCTCGGAGGATCAACGACGAGATCGAGCGGCAGCTGCGCAGGGACAAGCGCGACGCCCGTCGGGAGCTCAAGCTGCTGCTGCTGGGTGAGTGCGGCCCTTGGACCCTGGTGCCCCCCGCCCTGGCTCCTCGTTGCCCTCCCCGCGCGCGTCCCCGGCCGGTACCCGCACCGGCGCGCGCGCGCACACAGGGGCCGAGGGCCGGGGCTCCCCGGCGCTGAGCCGCGGCGTGCGCCTTTGGTGTCAGCTAGGGCCGTGCTCTGTGCGCCGCGTCTGCGGGACGGCTGAGCGTCCGCGCGAACGGCGCGGGTGGGCGATGGCGTGCGGTGCGGTGGCCGGCCTGCGTCCATTGTGGCGTGTTGTCGGGTGGAGAGGAAAGGGTGGAAACGGGGAGTCGACTCGGGTCTGGATTCTGCTAGGAAAGGTGCTGAGGAAGCCTTGGCTGGCGCTCCAAAGAAACCCGGGCTAATGTACTGGGCAGGGGCGGGGCAGGAAGACTAGCCCAAATGTGCTCTACTGTAGCCACCAGGCCACTGACAGGAGTGACCCCAGAGAGTTGCAGGGCCAGTGGATGGTGACAGGCATCTCTTCTGTACCATTGCTTCGGGATAAAGATGAAGGATCCGGGAGTGTTGTACTGTGTGGTTGTTGACAGCAGACGGGTATCTTTTGTTTAATGAGGCGACCCAGATGTATGCCTGAATTCACAGCAGTTTCTACTGGAAACCAGCACAGCCTCTCAGTTACTCTCCTGGAAACAAACAGAAACCTTTTGTTTAAAACGGACATTTTAGTATCCTGCCATCTGGGCTCCAAGAAAAACGGGAAGAGTTCGAGAAAATTCCCCTCTGATCTCGTTAAAAAAAATAAAAAAGACAATCGAACATTCTGCTTTCACACGAAATTAGCAAGAAAATGCTATTTTCAAATAGGAACTATATTGATTATTATCTCTGAGAGAATGTTCAGAATCAAGCCATCAGGGTTCATGTACAATCTAGCATGACATAAGTATTGCTATTGTGGTAGGAAGGATGAACTGCTTTGCAGGAACAGGCCTGAAAAATGTCTGCACTTGTGTTTATTTGTATGAGTAAAAATAACGCTTCTCAAACATTTCTGTAAGAAGAGGATATTGCATTGTTAGTTGGGATTTGAGGAGCACCCCCTCCCTTTTTTTTTTTTTTTTTCTTTTTTCTATCTGGAGCATTACATCTGCTGGCTCCAGGAACCCATTACCTTGGGGACTGAACTGCTTATGTACTGGATCGCTTATAGTCAGGAGCAAAATATCATGATCACAAATGGTTTCCTTGCCTTAACTTAGGTCTTTCTCTTGAAATCCAGTTAGGTAAATGTGCGCATAGAAAGTATTCATAAAGAACAGAAGGCAAGGAGCTGAATAGAAGGGTGGATTTCAGAGGAATAAGCCAGGGGAATGGGGAAACTGGATAAGCCTGCCCACCCTCATGATTTCTGTTTCTTCTCATGGCTGGAAATGGAATGTCTTATCATTTTTTTTTTTTTTAATTGAGAAGGGAAAAGCAAGGGCAAGTGGAATAAATATATGGTGTTCTAGTATACAATTAAGAGGAAAAACATGTGTTTTAGAGATTTTCTCTTAGACCTGGCTTTTAATTTTCCTTTGTTTACAGTCTTCGTATGTTTGTGTTTAGCTAGGAACAGGGCATTTGAGGTCTCGTTAACCAAACTTATTTGCCTGAAATTTGACAGCTCGAGGTTTCCCAGCAGCTATGAGTTAGGTTTGTCAGAGGGCCTAGGTTTAAATGCCTGAGAGGGGAATATACTCATAGAGATACGTAATTACATGCTGTGTATTTTAATGATATACCATGCTTTAAAAAATGAACGTGGAAATGATTTCCCGAGGGGAAACCCCCCACAATTCTACTGCTAAAAAAGTGGTAGGTATAAGTGTGTGGCGGCCCTCCCCTCACTGATTATAGATTGGAACAGGGTTTAACATGGCCCCACCTCACCCATCAAAGACAGACTGTTGGAGGTGGTAGACAACTTGCCGTTTATTCAGCACCTACATTCATGAACAATATTTAAAAAACACACAGTTCTCTGTCAGAAGTGGGAGGGCTGGACATCATTAGCAATCACAGCTGTTCTCAGTCTGGATAGGCTTCTTTCCCAAATGCAGTACCCACACTATTTGTGTAGTTATGATGATAGACATTAAGTGTAAATTTCTCCCTGTGTATACACAGGGTATATGTGTATGGATATGAGTTTAGCAGGGAAATTCGTGTTGAATTGAACAAGGGAGTGTTTGGGGGAGGGGCTCCTTCCTGGTCTGCTGCCTTGTGAGTAGTCTTTATTTCCTAGTTTTTTCATTCATTTTACCAACATCCATCCAGAGGAGATTACAGATTATACTTCATCACATTTTAAAGTTCTTTTTACATCTTTGATCGCTTATTTACATGGAGGGATCCTGCTTGTGTTGAAGTTCTGTGTAAAATTGTTTTGAAAGTAAGTTTTAACTCAAGGCTGACACTCACAGAAAGAGTTTGTTCTGCAGGGGTGCAATATATTGATCACCTAATTATTTAACTTATTAAAATATGACTATCACAAAATTGGTTATCTGACTAGATAATCAAGTGTACCAGTAAACTTGGGCACACTTGATTCATTCAGCACTTATGGCAGTGTGTTCCACACTTATTCTACAGAGCTTACACATTTTGATCTCCTTCTTCTTGAGGAATGATCTCTGACATTTCCTCATAGTAAAGTTTCATTTTAACTTAGTAACTTCTGTCTTACTCTCTTTAGTTCTCTCATATTAGTGTTTGCTTTCTTTGACACCTGAAAGAAAACTTTGTATTCTTTCAGGATATAGTATATAGGATATAGTAGAAGATATTTGATACTTACTAGGTATAAAAGACTGTTATCTTCCCTTTAAAGTTGAAATATCGTGATAAGTTTTACTCTTAAAGATATCATGTCTCTCCTCATTGACCTGTTTTTTTTAATGTGTGTTTAAATCTTTACTGTGTAGACCTTAGACATCAAATTAGCAATCCCTTCTTATTGATGGGTTCTTCCTATTGAAAGCATACAAGTTTAGATCAGTCTTAAATGGAAGAATATATGTGTTTAGTTTTTGAAAAGAATAGCATAGGCATTTCAGCCTTTTTATATGGTCCACTCTGCAAGCTCAAGAGGGTTAAGATTGTGTTCTTTTGTTCACTTCTACATTGCAGCTTCTAAGACAGATCTAGAAAAGCAGTCTTAATCAGTACTTGCTGATAATTGATTTTGTGATCTTGGAAAAAAAAATCACATGTGCTTCTTTGAGCCACAAGTTACATGTGCATCCCAGCACATTGTGTTTTGTGTTGGGTTTGTTAGAATGGGACCAGCGTTTGATACTAGGAATCAAACTCAGAATCTCAAACTTGCTCCAACATGGAACCCGCCGCTCTCTTATTACTTTTTGACAGGGTCTCACTAGGTTGTCTAGGGAAGCTTCGGATTTGTGTCCTCCTACTTCATCCTCTTGACCACTTGAGACCATAGGCCTGCACCATCAGCCCAGAGTCAGCCATGCTTATAGAATGTCAGTGTGAGGAAGACAAGTCCATTCTATACTTTGAGTACTGTTTATTATATAAAGGCTCATTTACACCATTTATTCTTTTATGTATGTTTTCTACCATTATGCATTGATCATAGTGAAATTTTAATATTCCTTCTCTGATTATCAAAACAGTTTTTGTGACTAATACATACATTGACATGAGGGGACTTCAACGGGTTAAGTACAGACTGTTAGGAACTGGTATTTGTGTGGAAAGTTGCAGGTGTAAAGCAAGAGGGGACCTGGGAGGCTGGGAGTTGTGGCTGTGTCCAGTTTAAGTTAGAGAGAGTTGCTTTGTGCACGTTTAAATACCCTTCCAGTTCTCAGTAGCTGTCAGGGTTGGCTGCCCCGATTCCTCTAATGTAAACATTTTGGAGATATCAAAATATGATGTTTCTATAAAGACTGACCTTTTTTTTCTTTTTAATGCTTTCTTATCTTTAAAGTGTTTAATATGTTTCTAAATATCAATGTTTTTTGGGATGTATTTCTTCCTCCTTCAAACAAAAAAAAATGAGAAAACAAAAGAGTTTATATGTGAAGGCTGAAATGGTACATTCCTTGGAAACCCAAGCTGTAGGGTTGACTGACAGAGCCTTCAGAGTAAGACTTTTCATGGAGCTTTGTGGACTGCCTCTCTGTCATATACCTGTCAGTCCTTGAGTAAGTCATTTCCTCATAAGAGAACTTTGGCCTAAATTAAAACCCTGCTGATGGTTTTTCTGTGAAGCTATTCTGTGTAAATCTGTTCAAACATTTGTATGTAAGGGTAGAAAAGAGAACCATGAATAAATTGGTTCCCATGAATAAATTTCGTAGCTTCTTTTTTATTTAGAAAAACTAACTCAGTTCCTCTTTACAAGGTGTTCAGTTTTCAGAAGTGTTTAATAAAGTTAGTTAGGGTTTGTATTTCAGATGAAATTTCAAGGACCTGAAACAGCTTTTCTAACTATAAGGCTATATGTGCTATGCTAAACTTAGCAGGAACAGGGAAAAGATTTTTCTTCACGATCCTGGCAAGCTTTGTAGTAGAGAAAAAATGAACAGGATTTTTCAGGATAATTTTGCTCCTAGCATCCATATCAGTTTTTCTTTGAAGGGAGCTGTTACTCTGTTGATGTTGGTGGATTGTTGATTGGTTGTTGAAGCAGGGACATAGGGAGCCAAGGAGATGTCTTGCAAGAGAGAAGCCATTCTTTTCAGGTTGGGACTGTTTCTCCTTGAGAGGGTGGAGGGGCTGTTGTCTTTTGCAGACCTGCTGTGGAGGGGCTGTCTCCTGCAGACCTGGTGGATTGGGTTGAGGGGGTGCATAGATTTGTAGTAATAGATTTAAACTCTCATTTCCTGGCTGAAGAAGCAAGCAGTGACAATATTCAAAGGGAAGCTTCTACAATGGCTTTTAGGTAGTCATTAAGATTTGTGCAGAATTAATCCTAGGGAAGTGTGAAATAGCAATAGAAGGTAAGAT